CTCTGTGCAGCAGCGTCTTAGACAAGTGGTGTGATGGATCCCCGTGCTCACCAGCAGACTGGTGGCTAACTTTAATCGGGTTTAGAGCAGGAACAAGAAAAGGGGATCTTCCATCCCTTGGCGCTAAGGAGTTACACTTACTTCATCCTTCTTGACCCACTTTTTGCAAGAAACAATCTCAGCAAAAGGGATGAAGAAAACCACTGAGGGAAGAAAACAAGTTATGATGGTGCCAGAGCATTCACCCAGGGAGAGAAAGAACATCTCCCATCTCCCTTCACGCCTTCCCTACGCTGGGCACGGACTCAGCCCCCCGCGGCCCGAGCAGAGCCACGTCCTTCTCCTCGGCCGCTCAGGCCGTGAGCTCGGGGGCTAAGTGGGGACTGGGGATCTAAACTTTGGGTTTCTAACGCTGCCCAGGGACCTGACTGAAAAACACCTCCTGGTTTAGACCGTGTTATCGGGATCTCGTGGGGAACTTCTTTTCTGCAGCGGCAACACCCCACTGGTATTCAGTCAATAATGAACTCACACCCACCGTTTGGAATACTCCTTTTATTTCTAGCTTCCAAGAAGAAGACGTGAATTACTACACTTGGATTTTTGTTCCACAGAAAGTTTTAGCAACAGGAACAGGAAAAACATTCCAAGACACTAGTTGTAGGTCATGTAGCGGGGGGTAGCGCTGAATTTCGCATACGATTTAATGACTTTGTTCACTGCTTCCAAGAAGTCTTTCTCTGTTGCGATTTTTCGACGTGCTCGGATAGCAAACATGCCTGCCTCCGTGCAGACACTGCGAATCTCGGCGCCTGGGAAAGAAAGGGATAAACGAATTCAACACTGACCACCAGTGGCGAAGAGGCGTACACAAAATTGTTAAAAAAAAAGACATTTCAGCTTACCTGTGCTATTAGGACACAGCCGAGCCAACAGCTCAAATCTTATGTCTCTTTCAACACTCATGGAACGGGCATGTATCTTGAATATGTGAGTTCGCCCCTGAAAAAAGAGCGGGGGACAGAAGTGTTCATGCTATGAAAGAGGTGGTGACTCTCAGCGTGCAGCTGTCTGCATCCAGGGCAAGGGCAAAAAAAAGGAAAGAGACTCTTATCTGCTGCCCAACTACAGTTTCCTACGTCTGGACCAGCAAGTTTAGGTGTCCATGATTCTAAATTAAGAAAAGAACTTCAGAGCGAGCTATAATGGTAGAAATCTCTCTCAAAAGTGCGAAACAAAACACATTCCAGCTTAAGAACTCAGTCACGGATCTGGCTGGAGGACTCTTTACCCGTCGAGTCAGGAATACACCATGAGCACAGCTATCTACCATGGCTTCTCGGCCAGGGAGGGAATCTGCGCAGTGTGGGAAAACCTTTTTGGCTCATTTTTAATCCCCCAAATTTCCATGTGGTTTCACGTACATTAAGAGTGCTGCTTTTGTTAGTTCTCATAAACTGCTTCTGGACAATAATGCCCCAACTGAAGAAACACTGATATTAGGAAGTTCTTCACTGTGAGCGTGGTGAGGCACTGGCACAGCCTGCCCAGAGAAGCTGTGGCTGCCCCCTCCCTGGCAGTGTTCAGGGCCAGGTTGGATGGGGCTTTGAGCACCCTGGTCTAGTGGGAGGTGTCCCTGCCCATGGCAGGGGGGTTGGAAGGAGGTGATCTTCAAGGTCCCTTCCAACCCAAACCATTCCATGATTCTGTACCAGCATACACGTACTCAGCTGTGAAAGCAAGCATTCTCACCTCAAGATCAGGCAAGCTAAACTCTATCTTCCTGTCCAACCTGCCGGGCCTCATCAGGGCTGGATCCAGAGTATCGGGTCTGTTTGTAGCCATCAGCACTTTGATGTTGCCTCGTGGGTCAAAACCATCCAACTGGTTGATCAGCTCCAGCATAGTGCGTTGCACTTCGTTGTCACCCCCGGCCCCATCATCAAAACGAGCACCTGGAGAGGAGACACACGTATTTCACAACGTAAGAGAAGGACCTTCAGAGCATGAAGTGTCACAGCTGCTACGTAGAAGACACCTGGAAAAAGAATTTCAAACGACATACAAGTATTCGTGATGAGTTTAAAAAAGGTGTGAGTGGGTCATCTGCAAAGGACAGGAGTGGTGTTACCCG